TCACTGGGGTATATAAGGGTTCACACCACCTCTGCCTTGTGAAACACCTTTTGTAGGATAAAATCGTGAGATCAGGGGGGCCAGAGCGGATAATACCTTACAAGGGTGTGAACCGTGGCGGTTAAGTTGATTCAGGATACCGGAAGGGTGAATGCTCGGGTCCCGGAACCACACGAGTTCGGAGCTTAAGTCGCGACCCGTGACAAGTAGTATCAGAGTCAGCCCTAAACCATTCGATCCACATCGAGCGTCTCGAGGGAGGTAGGTAGGGTGGCCAGCCTCCATGACGAAGGCGTGCGGGAGAATGTCACAGACCTAAGGAGGAGTCTTGAATCTCACATTGAACATAATAGGAGGGTCACTGGGGTATAAAAGGGTTCACACCACCTCCGCCTTGTGAGGCGCCTTTTGTAGGACAAAACCGTGAGGCCAGAGGGGCCAGAGCAGACAATACCTCACAAGGGTGTGAACCGTGGCAGATAGGCTGATCTGGCATCCGGATGAGTGGATACCCGGGTCTCAGAGTCGCGCGGGTTCGAAGCTTAAGTCTCGACTTATGACACTTGGATCTTGCTGGCAAGACTGCCACACTAAATTAGTATGAGATATTTAAATATGGGTTGCTCTATGCAGTCATGGCTGCTGCAACACCAGAGGGATCTCAATTTGATGCTCGCCAGTATGATGCTAAAATGAATGAGTAAGTTTTCTATCTCCTTGTATATTTTTAGGCATTTAAGCTTTCAGATTCATTAGTGGTAACTCGAAGTTTGTTATGTCACTTCATGGTTCCTTTGATTATTTAGCTGGTGCGTTTATATTTTGCTAAGCTTTAGAATTTAATGAAAGAAAACTAAGGCTTTGTTTGGTAAATTGATATGAACAGATTTGAAGTTGATGGGCAAGATTTCTTTACCTCATATGATGAGGTTTACGACACTTTTGATGCTATGGGATTGCAAAAGAATCTTCTTAGGGGCATTTATGCTTATGGTAAGTTGGATCCATTGCTACTACTTTGTTAGTCAAAAACTTTGAAGGAGGTGGAGTGTGATACTCTGATGTTTTGTTGTGTGCGGTAGCATTGGTAAAACTTATTGGGCCTTATGGGTGATTCAAATTCAATTACCTTGTTTCCGATTTAGGTTTTTAGCTTATGTTGTATGTTCAATTAAGATCCTGTGATTTGCCATGGTGAAAATGTGGACTTTCAAGTTCTAAGAACTGCTTCATTTCTTTTTATTGTTCAAGAAGTTTCTCCTTTACATGGCTAGTGTGAAAGCTGATTGCTAGGTCAAAATTTTTTGTGAAGGTTTTAAGAAGCCATCTGCAATTCAGCAAAAGGGGGATTGTACCATTCTGCAAGGGACTTGATGTAATTCAACAAGCACAGTCTGGAACAGGAAAAACAACAACTTTTTGCTCTGGAATTCTACAGCAACTTGACTACAGTTTAGTTCAGTGCCAAGCATTGGTCCTTGCACCAACTCGAGAATTAGCGCAACAAATTGAGAAGGTCATGCGGGCATTAGGTGATTACCTTGGTGTTAAGGTTCATGCTTGTGTAGGTGGGACCAGTGTCCGTGAAGGTCAACGGATTCTATCGAGTGGGGTTCATGTGGTCGTTGGTACACCTGGCCGTGTGTTTGACATGTTGAGGAGGCAATCTCTCCGTCCTGATGACATAAAGATGTTTTTGTTGGATGAAGCAGATGAGATGCTGTCACGAGGATTTAAGGATCAGGTCCTTTTTTCACTTATAAGCTCTATGTATTTGTTTGGTGCTTTGCCTAGAAGATGATGGCTTTGGTTGTAATGCTAATTATTGGGAACATTTAAGCAGGTTATTACATGTATATGCTTAAGAAAAATGTTTTACCTATTATCATTCTACTAGACAAAATATCGGTTTTGGAATTGTGGAAATTTCTTGATTGGTATTTTTTAAGCTTTTGCTGTGATTCTCTGTTATTTGGTTTGTTATTTTGTTGACTTCTGTTGTTCGTATGATCCAGATCTATGATATTTTCCAGTTACTACCACCGAAAATTCAAGTAGGGGTTTTCTCTGCTACACTGCCTCCTGAAGCCCTTGAGATCACAAGGAAGTTCATGAACAAACCTGTCAGGATTCTGGTGAAACGTGATGAGCTTACCCTTGATGGTATCAAGCAATTTTATGTCAATGTTGAAAAGGAGGAATGGAAGCTGGAGACGCTTTGTGATCTCTATGAGACCTTGGCAATTACTCAAAGTGTCATTTTTGTGAAAACTAGGCGTAATGTAGATTGGCTTACAGACAAGATGCGGAGTAGGGACCATACAGTGTCTGCCACCCATGGAGATATGGACCAAAATACAAGGGACATCATCATGCGGGAATTCCGATCTGGATCCTCTCGTGTGCTTATCACCACTGATCTCTTGGCTTGTGGTATTGATGTTCAGCAAGTCTCTCTTGTGATTAATTATGATCTCCCAACACAACCAGAGAACTACCTTCATCGAATTGGTCGTAGTGGAAGATTCGGGAGGAAAGGTGTTGCCATCAACTTAGTGACCAAGGATGATGAGAGGTTGCTATATGACATACAGAAGTTTTATAATGTTGTGGTTGAGGAGCTGCCATCAAATGTTGCTGATCTTATTTGACATTGTTTCGGGTTGGCTAGATAAATGGCTCCCTGGAAATGATAAGTTTTAGAGGTCTGGTGCCCTTACAGCTGGTAGGGATTTTTGTTCCTGCACATTCAGATGGGTTCCCATTACCATTTAGAAATTTGATGTTCAAATTTTGATTTGGTGTGTGTCTAAGACAAGTATGTACTACTGTTCCATTTTTATTCTAAATCATGTCGTTTTATTTATGTTCTTAATTTTTCTCCTCTAGTTTCTCTATTTGAGAGGATATTATGTAGAGTGGGAAAGTAATTATTTTAGATCATTGGACTTGCCGTTTTGTTGAAATTTTTGTAAGTTATTTTTGCCCCCTGTGTCTAGCTATCAAATTAGCATGATTGATGGAGAGTTTTGATCTGATCAAGAAAGACAGGAGATGAATTTAATCTGTTAGTAGCTGCAGAGTCTTCTATTCATCTAGGCTGTGCTCGTTTTATTTAGAATTCTTTCAGATATGGAAATTGTCCTGATCTCTTCTGTAGCAATTACTAATGACAAAGTCCGAGTAGGTTTTGGGCTGTCTGGCTCCCCTAGTTTAAATCATTTGTTGGGTTCAAATTTTTTGTGAGACATGCTTGGCCATGAACATGTTCTATATCATCTGCTCATTCTCTTTGCACAAGTGCTTCACAGCTAAGGGAAGATAATGTGATCTATCTTCTCTTTTCGAGGCAATTAGATACTATTTGGTCATGCATTTAGAACTTTTAGTAAAAGCCAGGCTGTATGGCCTATTGACTTTGCTTCCATCACTTGCTACGTGCCAGCAGTAGCAAAAGCCTCTAGCCCTACAATGACGATAAGTTGATAACTTTTTGCGGAGCCTGGTCCCGTCATTCAGCTCATCATCACTATCAACGTATTAAAGCCACTGTCCATAGGGTAAAATGCGGATAAGAATTTTCCCAACCCATATGAAAAAGATGTCAGCTTCATCTTTCTTCTAACTTGAATGCCCCTCCCAAAAACCAAAAAGGTGTTGACCTTACAATTAGTGCTCGTCATTCCTTTGCTTAACCATTGGGTTCATTTGATATCAGAATGGAATTCCAAAATGATTTAAGAAAGCATATTGGGCCCGAATGCATACGAGTAACGCGTAGACTTCTCATGTCAAGCTTTCAACCAGTAAGAAAAGATGTGTATTTAGTTGGGTTTTTGGACTGCTTCAAAGGGTACGAGTTGGAAGAAATTCTTTTCAAAGCCGAAGTGATAGATTGGCGAGCTGGTTTTGGTTTGTGAACCAAGCGACTTAAAATGAAAACAGGTTGGCCTTTGGTTTCGGGTCGTTAGAAGTGATTTATGTTATTTGTGGTCTTTGACCAGTTGATCTTAGTTTTTGATGGAACAGACAAACGCAAAAAGAGCTGAATACTTGAATGAAGGCACAGTTTAACAACAGTTACTGAATTAAGTGCAGCAAATATATGTACTAACAACACTTTCAGTTTCACTCCCTGTTTGGATAACTCACGTTATGCAGGGTTATTACAAGTAGCAAGTTAAAGAACTGTAGACAGAGAGCATTAGACTTTTTAACTGTTAAAAATCTGATTTTTCATCTCTCCCGAAACAGAACTGCAAAAAATACTGGACTCCTAAAACCCAGGGCAAGATCATTCATCATTGATGATCAAAGAGCTTTATTTATTTTAAGTTTTAAACGAGAGCAAGACAATGGTAACCTCATTGAGCATTCAAAAAAGTCAACTTTATAGACAGGTCAATGTAAATGTACGTCTCATTTGAGATTAAATTTTTACATATATATTTTTTTTTATTCATATATTTTTTTTATGTGGGATTGAAAGCGTTATAATCTCTTCATCTTTAATACTTAACGTCTCTATCAAGTCGAGTCCATTCACAAGATCAAGATCACACCAAATCATTGTGTAACACTTAGTGACTCTCACGATTTCATCGTGTAGCATTTAGTGACTCCCATAATTATGAACTGATGACTGTTTTGATACCAATTATAGAAATTCACATTTAACCTACGAGGTATTATCCGTTTTGATCCGAAAATTTCATGATTTTATCTTACAAAAAATATCTCACAAATTTAAAATTAAATATCTCTATATATATCATTTTTTATCTATATATTTTTTTGATATAAGATTGAAGGCATTACAATTGTATAAGGGGAACATAAATAATTGCCCGTAGACATTTGGACCCCGTTAAACAAGCAATCTAGAATCAATTCCAATGTCCAAAGACAGTCACAACAGAGGAAAATGGGAAAAAAATAGCAAATGCAAACAATGTTTAAAAATTAAAAAAACCAACTTAAATTAATTCAAAATCTAAGTATTTTTATCGCCTCCATAGCTTTTATATTCTTGTAGGACCCCACAGTTTCTATTATTCATTTTTTCTTCCCTGACTCGTCAAGATCAAAAGAAACTCAATACAAACCCTCCTACAGGACACCACCCCCTTCAGGAATCTCTCTTGAGTCTGCCAAAAATTCAATGGAAGATTACAACAGATCAAGGTCATATGCTAATGGGATGATGCAGCTGGCAGCCTACCATGGACCACCTAGGCCTTCAGCTTCTTATGATCTCAGGTGCTATAGTGCTTCCTATGCACAGTCCCAGATGGCTAACAACTATAACACAGAAAACAACAGGGACTGCAAGTTGAAGAAAGGGAAGAGTACTTCTGGCTCATCTTCTTCAAAGTCATGGAGCTTTTCTGACCCTGAGTTCCAGAGGAAGAAAAGGGTTGCTAGCTACAAGATGTATAGTGTAGAAGGTAAGGTCAAAGGGTCCTTGAGGAGGAGCTTCAGGTGGCTTAAAGATAAGTACACACAAGTTGTCTATGGGTGGTGGTGATTATGGCAGTTGGGCCCTTGTTTCTTGTTGCTCCTCTTTATGTTTTTCTTGCTTGAATTCAAGGTATGTGTGAAAAAAGTTTAAATTTTTGTGTTAAAGAGAAAATTTTTGATAAAATTGTTGATGTGGTTGGCCACATGTGGACTAGCTTGATTGTAAATTCGGTTACTGCTGTTCTATTACCTAGAACAAGTTTTCTGGGTGTATATTTAAGTGTTAAATCCTTTCAAATTTTTGGTGGTCTTATGATCAAGAGGCGTTGACCACCTGATTTCCTGGGCTTTCTCACAGTCTTATTCTATAAATCGTTGATTATTTCACCAGTTTGTTAACGAAAATGAATGGGTTCAATTCGGTAATTGACAATAATAACTGTCTTTATTCCCTAGGAAAAGGAGTTTTTCTTTTTTTTGGTAGCTTTGAGGATAGCCTTCTTCCGCAAATACGCAGCTCTTGTTGAAGGAACTTTTGTCATCTTATTGTGTTAAGGGTATGCATTTGATGCTTGATTGTTCTAGAGAATAAACCTACTGTCAGAACCATATTTGATCATTTTGAACTCATAGGTCTTTTCTGGTATTATGAAATTATGAGTTGCAGCATATCTATGCATGGACTATATGGTTTCTGGTTACATTTTCTTTATGAATTGACTTTTAGACCTTTGCTACTAAGCAATAAAGTTGTATTGATCCTCTAAAGGGTGCAGCGTTTATAACTTAATCACTTTTTCCTGGGTGTAACTGATGTGCAATCTTTGTACCTAGGAAATGCTGATCAGGTGCCTTGCAATTGCATTATTTATTTCCTAGTTAGTGTCTTTTCCTGCAATTATTTATTAATTTGGAAGATAACATTTAGGGGATTAACCTGCTTATCTTTGCCCTTTTATCGGTCTCAGTCGTAATATCCACGTAATTTTCCTTGTGAAATTTCCTTCTCACGCTTAAGTAGTGCATAGGGATATGCCATCCATCTCAGCAGTGTTTCATAAATTTTTCTACCATGGTAGTTGAGGACCACTTTTGAGTTCTATCTTGTGATAGATTCTATGCCAACTTATGTACTTCAAACCTCATAGTATTAACTTATTTTTACAGTTTAATGTTCTCTTGTTTCAGAAAGCCCTTTAGTACATATTTAATTTCTTCTGGTTCATGATTTGAGAAACAAGTTGCATAAAGTAAGATTGCATTATATATGTCATGTATCATGGTTCCTTGTTTGCCTTGGACTTTAATGTTTTAAAGCCTTCTTCAGTTGATTAACAATGACCCTAACTTTAGGCCATCTCTAGCTGATACTCACAACCAGCATTTGTTCCTTATAGGACTAATAAGTGGTCGATTTTACCTTACCAAGATGTCTTTGTTTATATTGCTTTGTAAACTAGGTATCCGGATTTACAGAATTAGAACGTTAGCATATAATTTGAAGACATATTTGAGGAAGAAAAAGGAAATATGGCAGTGCTTGTTTTCTGATGCCTTACATCTCTTTTTAAACTTGTATTTATCTTCTTCTTTCTCTACGTTCCTCCATTTGCTATATCACTTCATTTTAGCTTATTCATTCTGAAGCCATTAACAGCACATTATAGCGAAATTGGATATGAGCTACCTTTCAGGGGAGTTTGGAATGCCATTGAAATGAAAATCTCAATGGAAGGAGTGACATACTGGGATGTCATTTTCATTAATTTGCTTGCTGTAGTTATGGTGAAGTCATTTCACTACAAAGTCAGCTCTTCTGCAATACTTTATTAGTTTTTACTCGAAGTAAAGCCATCACAAATGTCATCTTTTGGTACATATCTTGATCTTATCACTCTGGGGTGTTCTTAAGTTGTCAGATCATGACTCAGGCATTACATCCTCTCAGGAGTTCGGGTTTCTCAATAGATCCTTGTGGCATATCTTTGAATTTGTGTTTCCAATTATCATGGTGTGGGATGGCAGTTTCCTTTTCTTTTAAAATAAAGAAACAAAAAAAAACTGATTAGTGATTCCTGTGTTAGTTACTTTCACAGTTGTGAAGCATAATTGCTTCAGTCAATCAAGATCACCCCTTTTTTTCTCTCTCATAATCCTCTTTACAATATAGACATTAGCCATTGGCGTGAATCATGCAGATTGTCATTATTCATCATGAGTGCATTAAAGCATTAGCAATTGGCATTATCGAATGCGCTAGGGTTTGAATCATTCTCTTTCGGTCTGACATCTAATCTGTTTTTCATGCTAACCTGTTCGAATGATACGAGTCATTCTCTAACCAAATGTAGGCAGAGTATTGTAACTTGAGAAACTGTGCCACATTCCAATCAACTATCTATATATAGCAGCAGTAAAAAATTTTACTAAAAGACTAAAGAGACATGGCCTAGTAGTTTGCACTCGTCTTGTGTTAGCGAAGCAGGAGTAAATCCCTTGGTCGAGCTTCACAAGATCTCCACTAACAAGGGGCCTTCAATTTACAGAAGCTCAGCCGAAAAGATAAAAAGGCAGGTGGGGGGTACCATTTGCAATTTGAGAGTGATCGCCCCCCATTCCTCGTCGCAGTTGGGGAGGCAATTACTCTGTTCAGTCTCCATGCCTCTGGCTGTGGCAGGGATGGCAATTCTTCCGACCTATGGCTGCCAGGCAGTTAGGCCAGCAAATGCTTTTCTTCCATTTCTCAAATACTAACACTAAAATTAAGGTGAGGGTCAATAGAGAAATTGGCAATTTTTGGCCTCGGCCAATCCTAACCGACAAGGGGAAAAATATTACTCTCATGTAAACCTTTTATATCAAATCAGCATAAATCAAATTTTCCTGATAGACAATTTTTTTTTTTATCAAACGTAGCTGTAATTAACATTTAATGAATTATTAGTAGATATTTTGTTTGGGTATGAACGACTCAAATTTTGATGTTGACTGTACACTTACCAAGAACAAAACTGAAGGGGAGATTCTTATAATTATACCAGAAAATTTGCCTTAACCTTCATCAATCAACAGAGACACTACTATTCTGTTGTTGCACCTCGCTGTACCCCTTCTCCTCTCCTCTCTTCCTTTTTGCCGATTAATAATAAAAGAATCTAACCATTTTTATAGAATTCGAGTAAATAGGAAAAGGTATTGTTGCCAGACACGTTTCTATTCCTTCCAATCATCCATTCCATCAAATCGCACGCGAGAACATGCCATGGAACTAGCAAACGACAGCCTTCGCCAAATGCCAACCCTGAAATCCGAATGATTAAAAGAGCCGGTTAACGTAAGGTAGCGACAACAAAGCCACTGGCTGACAAATAAATTCCTGCCTTTAGGTTATAAAAAAAAAAAAAAAACCCACAGGAAAGAGAGAGAAAAAAGAGAGAGATTTTAAATTTTCAATTAGTTTTTTTTGTTTGATGATTGATTTCAGAGGGATAGCAAAGAAGAAGAAATGTGGGAATCGATCTGTTTAACATTGGCTGCCACGGCGGGCAATAACATTGGCAAAGTTCTACAAAAGAAGGGCAGTGTTATTCTCCCTCCTCTCTCCCTCAAGCTCAAGGCAATTCACTGGTTTTCTTTGACCATTTTCTTTTGTAGGTTTTTTGTTTTCTGTTTCTGGGTATCTCTCTTTTTTATGTTATTGCATCATTCTTATGGTTATGAAACTTTTTAAAGCCACTGTAGAATTGGATTTGGTGTGGAATTTTTCAATTTGTGGAACTATTGAGATATTGGTCATGAAAAGTTAATTATTTTTTGTTTGCTTTTGGTTGTTGTTCAGTCTTAGCAATTGCAGCTTGAGATTAGGTTTGGAATGGGGTCCTTATTTTTAATCGTTAATAGAAATTGTTCAAGATGTTATTTTTATAGAAGAATAATGAATTGGATTTGGTTTCAAGTGTTGAATGACTTTACGTGTTTTTGTGTAGGTGATAAGAGCATATGCTGTTAATAAATCATGGGTGATAGGATTTCTGATGGATATATGCGGTGCCTTGTTGATGTTGAGAGCGTTATCTCTGGCTCCTGTAAGTTAATGTTAATGATTTCTTTGTTTCTGCAAAGAACCGAAATTGATGTTCCTTTGTAACTTTATTGATATGAAAGATTACTACTTTAACTACATAATGGCCAATGTTTGGCTGCACACTGATAGAAGATTATTTCTGATGATTTATATTGTAAATTTTGTGTATTCTTTATCTTGGGGATGACAAAAATATTGCTCAGGTATCCGTCATTCAACCAGTTTCTGGCTGTGGGCTTGCCATTCTTTCTATCTTTTCACACTTCTATCTACAAGAAGTCATGAATGTTATCGACTGGATGGGGATTACTTTAGCTGGCATTGGCACCATAGGTAATGCAAGTTTTTCATGGTTCTCGTATTTGATTAGTCCCTGTGGAATCAATCATATAATACCATTACAAAGAGTTTGCAGTCAGAATTTTGCCATGATAGTTCTCAATTTAATTTAAAAGAATAAGTTAATTTATTTAAAACCTTCCTCATTGGCATCTTCAAATTGTATTTTGTCAATGATTTAAGGGTTTTAAGTCTGTAAAATGCAGCCTCTCCTAATGTTTATGCATATAGTTTCTGCAATGATCACAATCATCTTGTTTTGCGATATGATAGTCGAATAGAATACTAATGACCTAAATAAAATAATAATATTCCTTTTTTTTTCTTTTTTGCACATTCAGGAGTTGGTGCTGGTGGAGAAGAGCAAGAGGCTTCTTCAGTATCCATTTTACAGTTACCATGGTTGGCATTCGTTGTCGTGATCATGTTTGTGGGTACCTTTTCCCTGTACTCTTATCCAATAGTATTGTTTTTATTAATATTATATGTTTTTATTATCATAAATATATTGTACGGTTCTGTGAGAGGCTAAGTCTATTTTATGATAAAATTCTTGCCTTGCAAACTTGAAACTTATTACAAATTCTTAAGTTCAATGGAGCATGTCATCACTTTAAGAGATACAAACCTTTGATGCATTATGCCAAATGGTGTTACTTAACAGGAAACTTCTAGAAGTTATCTGAAGGACTTGTCCTATCCATAAATTCTATATCGTTAATCTTATAAAAAAACAAGTCAACTAAAACAAGTGTCATAATATATAGATCCGTAGACCTACTGTTAGACATGATTTTTAAGAGTCGCTACCAATTTTTTTTGTTTAAGTATGATTAGTCATCTCATCGAATCTGTTTCATTTAAAGAAGAGTCTCAAGATTGACTTAGGTATCTTTAAATAGTATATTCTGATCCACGAAACTAGATTTTAGGTTCGAGAGTGCGGTTACGTGTGAGGAAGGTTATTGCACCTCCACCGTGTCCATCTAAAGGATAATATCAGTTTGATTTCAAATTATCCAAGTCTTAAATATGTTATAATTTATCAAAATATTTAATGTTAGAAAATTAATCCTAAAATTACTCTAATAGTTTGGTAGCAATTTAAGATAATTTTCTCCCCTCAGGTGTATTCATGGAAATTAGTGTCCCACGCACCGTTGTCAAATTTATTAATGTATTTTACCCAAGAAAATAATTAGTAAAGTCCTCCAATAGTTTGGTAGGATTTACTTTGATGCAGATCTCCTAATAGTTTGGTGAGATTTTTTGTAAATTTATTTTTAGAAAATGTATTAAATCTTTCAATAATTTGGTATGACTTAATTTAATAAGCAAATCCTCTAATAGTTTGATAAGATTAAAACAAAATATTTTATTGGTAATATTTTTTATAAAATTGATTTATAAGATTCTCCAATAAGTTGGTAAAATTCATAAAAAATTTAAATTCATGAAAAATCATTCAATAGATTAGTAAGATTCATGAATTTATTTTAGAAATATTTTTTTATTATTTTTAAATAAATTAATAAAATAAAATTCATAAAGGTATTTAAAAAATAACTAATAAAATTTGTAATTTAAAATAATGAGTAAAATAATAGTTAAGATGAAAATAATAAGTAAAAATAAAAAATCTTAAAATAAAAAATAGAAAAAGTAAAGTAAAATAAAATCAAAACAGAAACTAGGATGAAAGAAAAAAGGAAAACCTGCCATCGGGTCAGGCTTGAAGTGCGGATCTTTACGCGAGTCGCCAGGTTCAAGCAAAAACATCAAACTTCAACCAGAAAATTCATCATAAACCCAGAAAAGTTTCCAGATTCTCCTCAAGAAACAGCTTGGTCTAACAACCCTGCATCCCATCTTCCCAAAGCAGCAACCTCCAATCCCTTGCTTTAGCCACAGTTAGACAATCACGACATTCTTGCTCGGACAAATCAGGAGTGCACTGTTCTAGAGCATATACTGTTTGAAAGGCGCCCACCCATAAGTTATCTGCTGCATACTTGCGAAGAGGACCCCCAGCTGCAGCTCGACTGCTCAGATTATTCAACAGGTTACCCAATGCCTGATGGAACTGATCAGCATTCGCTACGTCCTGTGTGTTGAGTAGACAAGCGCCAGCAGAGTCTTCCATTTCTCCAAGGATGTCTCAGTTTGCGTAGCGCAGCATACAAAATTCAGACCATCCAACCACCTCCTTGTAAAAGGGACATCGCTGCCTGAGTTCAGATATGGTATCATTGAGGCAACCATTGCAATCAGCTTGGTTTATGTCCCCCCTGCAAAGTGCGATTGCATTAACTTTGGTGGTGTATTCACCAGCAGACAGATTATAGAACCCATAGTTGAATTCTGTCAGAGATGTGAGTTGAAAGAAGAGGTTGTTGAGGTTGGCCTGGTAAGTGCTGTTTGTGGTATAGTTACCTGCTGCGCTTATACAACGATCCTGAAAGTATTGATCGGCTGTAAGGGTGAGAGTAGCAAGGAATGGGAGAACCAAATAAAACAAGAGAAACAGTCTTGAAGATCCCATTGCCATACCACCTTCTCCTTTTCCCATTGCTTTGATTACTGATTTATATAGAAATTCATGCTCCATGAATCCTCCTTAAATCTATGATTTTATTTGATTTTATTTTAACGTGAATTGATTCTAGAATTAAATCCTAAAAATCTCTCAACATCATTTTAATATGAATTGATTTGGAATTAAATCTAAAAATTTCTCAAGTACGGTTGAAGGTTGTTTCAATTCCGGAAAAATTTCCAGACAAAATGGACTGTCTGCAACAAGTCTTAAACTCTTTTGGCCAAAAAAAAAAAAAAAAAAACCAAGTCTTAAACACAGCCTGCAGAGAACAAAATTGGTTTAGTGGTTTAAACATATTGTCTCAATTGTGATTAATTTTTTGCTGGTGTCCCCCTCCTCTGAGGTGCAAGATTAGATTGGCATGATGATGGCTATTATTGATGACTATATATATATATTGTAAATTCAGTACTGAATCTATTTTCTTTTGCTCCTATAGAACTCAAAATATTTTATGAATTATCAATTCCTGTCAAGGTATATTTTATTGGATTTAAAATGTTAGAAAATTTAAAGTTTAGTGGAGGTGAATCATTTAAAAAAACTAAAGGCCTGTTCCAAACATCTTGTGGTTATATTGTGGTAATCCATTTTATGATAATGGAGTAGAATCATTGTTCCCTTGGTTATATTGTGGTAATCCATTCTATGATAATGCTTTGATAATCTATATATGATTATACAGGTACTCCTAAATGGGTGACTGCGCATATGCAAATGTCAACAGAGAGAACAAGAACTGGTAAACGTGCTCTCTCAATTTTAAAGATTTTTGTTGCTTTCACTCTGTAGTGGTGATCGCTTATGTAACGTTTTGTTTCTTTTCACCCTTCAATGTAGTGCACTTGTTAACAACTTTTCTCATGCAGATGGAATATGAAGTCGTTGAAGAAATTATATATGGCTTGGAATCAGGAATTTTATTTGGGTACCCTTTTTCACCTCCTAATGGAGATTTTACCCTTTTAATACAAAATTAACAAAGCATTAGTGTGTGGCTGCTTCAAAACCGATGTGTGATTATGGTTCTAGATGTTCACCTTAAATGGAGTTTCATCTGTTTGCAGAATGGCCTCAGTGATTTCAAAGATGGGATTTGTCTTCGTGGAGCAGGGCTTCTCCAAAATGTTGATCCTCTGTGTGTCTCAATCAGCATTTGTTGTAGTGGTACTGGATTTTACTACCGGGTATTTGAGCCACCTAAGTGCTTTATGATGAGATCTGACCATGTTGATATCCTTGCCTTAAGCTGTTTAGCCTTTTTCGGCCCAACAAAACATTTGTCCTGCATATCCTGCATAATAAGTTCATGTCCATGTGTGTGATTCAGGAATTCATGTTTACCGTGGTCCAATTATGTTCAGATTTAGTGGAAACCAAGGTTCATTGTCAGGAAATTTATGTTTAACAGGGTCCACTATTGTCTTACTTTTTATATAGTTGAACAAACTATTGCTGCATACTTGAGCCTCTTGAATAATTATAGCATTATCTTTTTACACCTTTTGAGCAGACTCGTGGCCTAAAGCATGGTAGAGCAATTGTGATCTCCACGTGTGCTGCTGTGGCATCAATTGTGACTGGTGTACTAGCTGGTATGCTTGCATTGGGTGAACGGTTGCCTTCAGCACCAGTTGCTTGTCTTTCACTTCTGCTTGGATGGTATATAGTGCAGAACCTAATTTTACACTCATATTGTACCAGAATAACATCTTATTCCAAAATTTTGCAATGTGTGGCTTCTCAACATCTTCCATGTGGCCAGTATATGCATGGAAAAGCTTATCCGGTAGAGATGATCCAGTTAAACAATCTTGTCTACCACATGTTTTTTAAATTAAAAGAGAAAAAAAAATTGGATGAGACTGTGCCACTTGTTTTTGTTTTTGATTGATAGGTGTAAATAGTTTTTATTTCAAAATCATTTGATCATTTACGTATACCCATTTTTTTAAGTGCAATCATTTGTGATTTCATATTTTTGTAGCTCAAATTCAACATTTTTGCCATGAATTGTAGTTTACCTGAATTTTCCCATTACAGGTTATTTATCATGACGGGCGTGATTTTGCTTGTGAGTTCGACAAGACTGATGCGGCATCTTCCATGGCCATTGTGGAATTTGGTACCCGGTGGAATGGACCGGAATTTCAATCCTAGGCGTTCAGGCTCTCATCGAGTCAAGGATTCTAGTCCATGTGCTGTTATCCAGGCAGCGACATTGCATCATCTAATTCCGTTACCAAGTAAGGAGAAGGCATAAATGAAGACAACAAAAGATCACTGCATATGACTATGTCACAGTTAATCTATGATCAAATTTTAGGTCTTGATGCGCTTGGGATGTAGGGGGGGGGGGGATGAGAGTTTTTAAGTTCAGTCCTTCGCTGAGCTGTTTGACATCATAAATTGTGAAATTTGTTAACCAAAACTATTCTAAAATGCCCTTAATACAGTATGCAAGTTAAATCTATTTACGACTTCTTGCAAAAATCATGAAGGCAACCTCGTAAAAAGTTATAGAATTGCCAAGAGGGCATAAACAGATTCAGGGAGCGGTTCTCCCTTCTTCCCTTATCTGTAGCCCTTATCTCATTGTAACCATAGTCGGTTGTTGTGGGGCTCGGTGCTCACTTGATGAATTTTTATGATTAGATGAGTGGAAACAGTAAGCAATCATCACATTTTCTGTTCTTTATTAATTGATAAGCATCAAATTATTCCCCCCTTCCACATACATGTGCACGCGGGAACAGAGCAAGACGAACCTTGTAAGACTTACTGCGTGGAAAGCATATATGCAAACTCAGGCAATCGGTGATTATTCTCTAATTCACCTAGAGAAAGTCATGTTTTGTTGACTTGAGTGATAAAGGAAGGCAGCATTTTACCTGTCTAATTCATCATCATACAAGCTTTAGCTTAATCATAAGTTACAAGTGGCTATGTGCTTAGACGTGTAATAAGCTCCATCTTATACACCCCCCCCCCCCAAAAAAAAAAAAAACAAAAAAATACGGCACAACCTAGAAGGAAAGCGTTTTTTCCCTCTTGATGTATTTCTAAGCATATCATATGCTATTTGCTTGGCACTGGCAAAGGTAATCCCTTTACGAATCCATGAATCTCCCTCGAGTCAAGAAAGTAACAGGACCAGGAAAATGAGGCTTAAGCATTTTCTTTTGTAATGGCTTGAAGTATGATCTCAAAGGAAGCCCACAATATTTGTTGGAAGTTTACTACTTATCCTTTGTAATCTTGTAAAATTTAATAGAGCAAATGACACAAGTAATTTCATGCTGATTTGCTACTACTACTAGGCATGCAAGAATGAGAAGAAAGGGAAAGTTTTGGAAGTAAAAGTATAATTTTCCTAACTTGAAAAATCTTTTCTACCTTCCATTAAAGAAAGGAATAAATTTATGAAACAATCAACTCAGAAGTCAGAATGAGAGGACAATAATAAAAAGGACAATGTCTGTATAGGAAAACAAGACCTGATTCTCGAGTTGAAAAAGGTGTAAACCAGAGGGTCCCATAGTCCTTTCAGAATGAACAGTGAGGATGAAGGGGACGGCCAGAGGGGACCCCCAAAGTCCGTACATGGCAGAAATAGTGGTGGGATAACTCTGCAATCGCTCATGGTATGTCTGGTAAACAGTTGGTGGCTTTTGGGTTATTGCAGCAAACCATTTAAGATCGGCGAAGGAGAGAAGAGGGACCCCGGGGGCAAGCAACAGCCACCTCCACCTTCACCTCACTCTTGTTTTCTTGACATAACAGGACGCGACACGACACCAAGGTCCACCATGACTTCTACGCGGACCACCACTAGTGAAGTGAATGTTCCACGATGAAAAACAATAACCCTTGAGAAGTGCCATGACTACCAATGGAAATAGGCTGGCCTGTTCATTTTCCTATTTTTGAAATGACAAAACAGCAAACTTTGTACTCTCCGAAAGTAGTGTAGTATAGCCTAATCCTAACAGAAATGAATGAACAAATTAATTATGAAGATGCTCACAGGCATTAGGACCCCTTGGTAGCTTATCCCTTGAAAAGTCCATGTGAAAGGCAGTCGGCATCTTCAAGAAAGGACAAGCTTGCCTAGATAGCTACATATAATGTTTCTGAAAAGTGACAGACTAGCCATGGTTCCTAATATTTTGGACAAGGTTTTCTTTTGCTCCATTAAGGAATATCCTAGCTTCCTATACCACAAGTACAAAAGTTCAGATGCTTGTGGAAGCGTGGCTTCATGGCCAAACATCTTTTAGTCATTGCTCATTTCTTTTGCAATGTCCAACTTTTTTAAGGGTTGCAATAGGTTTCCTTTGGGCATTGGGCAGAAAAAGAATTTGGTACGGAAATGACAATAAAAGAATGCTGTGTTTGAAGGCATTTTTTCACTAATTTTGATGGCACCAAGAAATGATCATTCAAAAACTTGTAGAATTATCATTGTCAAAGTTATAAAAAAGCAAGTGCTCCTATTTTAAACCCCACGAAGGCAATGAACCTTGGCAAAATATCACCTTAAATTTAGAAAGTAGCAGTATAAAAGGTGGGAACTGAGGTGGATTGATTGCTTGGGCACTATCTTCTAGGAATCACTCTCTTTAGAGATTAGACCTCAAGATAAGCCAAGGCCTTGTGGTCCACCGGTCATACTCGCAGCAAAATATTGTTAAGAAGTATGGTCAGCTGTTGTCATCAACAACTTCACCCTATGCCCCATTCCCTTCGGTAAAAATGTAAAGGAGTTTTAACTGTAGTTTCCCTCTCCTTGAAGAAATGCCTTAGAAAGCCGGATTGCCCTTAAAACTATCATCATCGAGATACCCTGGCAGCTGTTTTTAAAGTTAAGCCAGATTTAGTTGCTCGGGATTCTACAACTTTACTTCTAAATTCGTAAGATGTCCCCAACTCATGCACCTTATCCGCCATCGCCACTCCACCGTGGGACCATCTCACTACACCAAGAAGATTCTGCTGTAAACTTTTCGCATTTCAAAGTATTTTTTGTCTTCAATATGTAGGAGCATAAAAACTTATTATGTTGGTTAACAGTAAACAACTTAATATGACTAAAGATCCAGAGGAGCTTGGTTGGCCATAATCAGTGCAGGTATGTCAATGGCAGATGGTGTTGGGAGCCAAGGGAGCTTACCCCCCCAAATTTTTAAAATTCCCTAATTTAAATATTATTAGTATTAATAAATATTTAGCCTTATTTAGTAGGAACCATGAAAAAGCCTAATGGTAAAAAATTTATTAATCAAATTGTTATAACTATTTTTTTTTTAATTTTGTAGCATAATATTAAAGTACAAATTTTCTATTATTACTCCTTTTTATCTTTCCTATCAATAAAAATTTGCTTTTCTTTTATCAATTACAACTTCTTTTCATATATTTCAATTCTATTTTATATATTTTTGATCGTTTTCAATATATTTTGCTTAATCATTTGGATTACGACTTGACGACCACCTTAACAAAGCTAAAATTATTGTTAAGATTTGTTTTTTAATATATATTCTTGTATTTATGTAAGTAATTTTAAATTTTTTATATTTTATCAAAATTCAAGATAATTTATTTTTAATTTATGACATAGTACTATTTAAATTAATTTGTCTTAACAATTTATGAAAACAAATTACAAAACTTAACACTTGTGGAGAATTTATTACGAAAATTATATTAATAGATTTATAGATTATGAATCCATAAATTTTATAATTTTATGAGATATATATTTTCATTAGTATATTACTTACATATATCTTTTTTATTAATAAATATAATAAAATACTTTAAATAAAAAAATTACAATTTTAATTGGGCCAAAATCAAATATAAGATATGTCATTGATGACTCTCAAACAGTTAAGATGATTTTAAATAAGATCAAATCCCATTTAATGGTAACAAAAGTACATGGTAAACGACCAACATGTGGCCCATCCAAATAGATTGTCCTGCACAACTCGATGATGAATCAATCAGGAATCAACAGGGGAATCCTACCACAATGCTTCATTGCGCATTTAGTTGCTTGGGATAATCACCAAGTTGCTCCATCTGCCAGCTTTCATGAGGAGCCACTTGTTCATGTGAAGATGTGTATTGCTGGAGAATTTAATAATAAATTTTAGATAATTGTAATCCAAGATACAAGTAGCGGTCATATTGTTGTCTCAAATATCTCCAAAGAGCATTGGAAGTTTAATTATGAAAACCTGATGGCAAGGCACAGAGAAAGCACACACAGACAGGCAAATGGAAAGCAAAACAATCGACAATAAACAGAAGGCTGCCATGCCAGATTTGGAACCTTTCACATTTCACAGATTCAAGTTCGACCATGTATTTCTTGGAAAGTTTTCGACTTTTGAATTGCTTTGATTAGCGGGCTAGCCATTTCTTTAATTATCATCTCTAGCTTCTTTCTTTGTGTCAATATTTTCTCACCCAGATAAAATCAGGCCAATTAATTAGCTTACTTTTGACAGCATGGTAAAAGAAATTTCTATTCCATCATAATATTATTTTATGACTGGATGGATTCTTGGGAATTTAATCATTGGCTCGATAAAATTCTCTTTACCATGCTGCCAAAAAAATTTTTTAACGGCGTGATTCAAAAAAAAAAAAAAATCTGAAGTTCATACCTCCATCTTCTCCAAAAGTTCTTTGGCTGTTGGAGCAGAGACAATTATATGCCTGTCACCTGGCTTGATGAAACCTTCGTCAACGCCATTGTCAAATAAAGCGAGCAAATTATTGTAGTAACCGTCAACATTTAGCAAACCAACCTGCATTACGTGCAATGAGAATAGCAAATATTAGTGAATGTTTACATAGCTAGCTTAATTCTTCAAGCTTGAAGATTGATGCCTCACTGTTTTCTTATGTATTCCAAGTTGGGACCATGTTATCATCTCCAACAACTCTTCCATTGTTCCATATCCACCTAAAGCATCAAATTCTAAGGTTAGAGCTAGTTTTATTATCAAATAACAAGACCAAAATTTTCCTTTTTAATGAAAATGGTCAAGCTATTTTTACCAGGAAGAGCAACAAATGCATCAGCTTCTCGGGCCATTGCAGCTTTGCGCTCATGCATGTCTAAAACAGCTCTCACTTCTCCGACTGTTTCTCCTGATATCTGTCAATATTATCCAGGATTATGCATTAATGGTCGATCAATCCCAGCCTATAGAGATAAATACTTACAATTAAAGAAAGCAACAATTGACATTAATGATATTCCTGCAAATTCTTTTACCAAAATTTGTCCTAATAATAAGAACTCTTGTGCTGATGAGCAACATCAATTATTACTAATGTACCAAATTCAGTGATGTGAATGATGAAACCGTATAAAACCATTAAATGGTGAATGCAGGAAAGCATAAAACCTCAAATTAGGAATTTTCAAAGAAAGACTGATTAAAATTATTAAACAAGACTCTTGGACACAAGATTCAATAAAAAATAGTTATACATGGTTGCAAGTAAAGAAACAGATACCTCTAGAGGCATGAGAGCTTTTGGAATTATCCTGCATGTATAGAACAATTATTTACCAAGTAATACACCTAATGTGAACAAGAAGGAAGCTGCTTGCAACTTGTAACAGGTTCTGCAGTGAAAACCTTTAAAAATAGGCTCTTCAATATGCAAGGCAAATTCCTTACTTACCCAAGAACATGACAACCTCCATCATACACTGTCCGGGATATCAAACCCATCAACCCAACACTTCCCCCACCATACACCAAGTCTATCTTCCTCTTCACCTGTAATCAACACCAAGAATGAGCAAAACAGGAGTCCACAAATTATTAGAAAAAGGCAACCAATTTAGACATAGAAGTCAAGCTGAAGAACACTAGAAAAGATCCATTTGGGCAAATAACTTGCTTGCATCAAACCCCAAAATTTTAACTCATGGATATCACTCACGTATAGTCAAAAAAGAGCAACACCCTGTCAGCAGAAGCTACCTTGATGGTCAACAGTGCCATGACAGCAAACAGAGCAACCCCAATTCAGTACATGAAACACCAAATGTACAACTCCACCGTCATAGAATAAAAAAAACAGCAAAAATCTCATCTTTCTCACTAGAAGCTAACACCCAATAATCTAAAACACAGTTTTCAAAAAAGACAAACACTCACTTACCACCACCTCAAAACAAGTATTAAACCATTAAAAAATTCATCTTTGGAGACCAATAACACAAACTTTTTTCAAACTAACGTGTATAGAGATAGAGTTAAAGCAAAAAAGCAAACCAGTTCATTGCCCAATTCAAGAGCAGCATCGCTGAAGACTTTTCTATGGCCAGAATTGCTTCCACAGAAAACACACACCTTTTTGAACTTGCTTCTGGCTTTCTCGTCTTCCATTAACAATCTATCCCTCTACCCTCAGTTTTTGTTTTTATTCCAATCTCAAATCATTGAGTTTAACTGAAGAAAACAAAAAGCAATAGCCTTTCCCTTTGAAGAGATAAAATTGTCCCCTGACAATAAAAACTTTCTGGAAAGAAAGAAAAAGAACCAATCAAATAATAGGAACACAAAAACCACTTCTTTGAAAGCAAAGCAATCTGGGTTGATCTTGAATTGGTAATAAATAGAAAAAAATGCAAAATAAAAATGAAGGAAATCAAAGAGGGGCTTTTTATATTAAGGAGAAGAGAACATGTGGAAGACCATGCTCCCATCCCCCTTTCTAATCCAACCGTTTCTCCTGTCGGCTTCAACCCTTCATTAGGGATTTATCTTATTATGATTAAATTAATTAATATATTAATTGTACAATTTTTACTTACTAATTATTGTTTGTTTTTTCATAGTCAAAGGGCAAATTCAAATCAGAATTTCTTTTTCATAAAAGCTAGCAAGAGAACTTAAAAAAGGTGAGACATTAATAAATGGAGTGATGGGCTAAGTTGTTGCTTTCAACTAATTATTAAAAAAAGTAAATGACATATCAATTTTTTTCTTATTTTCTTTCTAAATTGTAATATAAGCCAAAATATTAAAATTTATTGTAAAGTTTTCAAAACATGATTTGGTGATAAATATATGTATCTTAATTATCAAATTAAATTTAAAATCTATCTTAAGAAAAATTATAAAGTTTGAATCTAATCTGATTCATTAAAAAATACATATTTTTAATAAAATTCAGATACATAATATATGTGCTATGGCAAGGAAAAACAAAAAAGAAATCCCATTATAATTGGATAAGATGGTTTATAAAGTTACATGTGACACGTAGTGTACCCATGACCATTAAAATTAAAAAAAAAAGTTAGCAGAATTATTTGACTTTTAGTTCAAGTTAAACTCTAATTACTTATAATGATAATAGTGTAATTTAAATATATAGTTTATTTTATGAACATTTGCTTTGTTTATTTAGCATAAATCACATAAATGTTATTTTTCTTATTTTATTATTTATTTAGTTAAAAAAAAATTTAGTGTGTAAATTTCTTCAAGTTCATAACTTTTATATGCTAACTCTAATTACATGCAAAGATTCAAGAGATAATTAATATAAGGTAAATTAATGTTTAAATGTGAAAATATAGAATTTTTGTTTTTTGAAATGGCAAAATCTAGATTTAAGTAAAAGAAATTCGATCTTCATGTTGGGTCCAAGGCCCTTGCCCCTTATTAAAGGGCTTAGGAAGCACACAATAGGTAGATGAGGTCCATTTTTAGGTCATGACAGGTAACATTTAATCAAGGTGAGTAAATTGCCAAATTAAACCAAGTTGACAAGGAAGGTTACTTACCGTAAGCTGCCAATTGAGATGCTTTGGCCAAAAATGGACCCTTTGAAAAATCAAGTTAAGCGACTTGCAACTACTGCCTCCTCACCCGTCTGTTTTTCCTTACCCTTCCACTCCTTAATTCAAGCAATTTTTTTTTTTACTTTGACAGAAAATTACACCAAAAACAAAAGCAAACACAAACACATCCAGTCATTGTTCCCCTGACAATTTCTTTCTCCAGGGAAATCTAAAATAACCTTGTAACACATGTTTTTAACATCAAACACCCAACAAGAAAAAAAAATTGGTGAAAAACCAACCAAAGAGTAATTATCTAACCTTTCAAACTTCCCTTTTCTTTATGTTTGAACTATGGCAAGGATGATTCCATTAGATGGTGATTCTATAATACATCCGGCATTGCCATTTTCTCTCCTGGTGGCTGGCATGGCTGCAATCATTGCTATAGTCACTGGTCTATGCGGGTTTCGGAGAAAACCATCATCAGATTTATCAGCCCCTGATTTGGCAGAGAAGTCAGATTTAGATATTCCACCATCCAATGCAGCAATTGCAGAAGCAGAAACTACAATGATACCCCCCCAGCCAGCCACCACATCTACAGCATTAGAAACAGAGAACTCGGATCAAATAATCAAAGAATTGCCTCTTCCACCAGGTATGAGGACATTAAAAGAGACCCATTCTTGCAACAATTTCATGACAAAATCCGCATCCACGCGAAAACTAAGCTCAACCTTGAGTGTGATGCACGTAAGAAGCATTTCGGTGAGCAAGATTCGAGAGAAAAGGAGATCCAAAGCTGAGGATTCGGTTTGGACAAAAACAATTCTATTAGGGGAAAAATGTAAAATATCAGATGACGATGATGATGCTGTTATCTATAATGGCAAGCATAAAACAGTTTCAGCATACCACCCCAGGATCCAGAGCACCGCATCCATTTCTATAACGAATTCCTTCAGAAATCCAGACACGATTCTAGATAAAGACAAGGAGAAAGAGGCAACAAGAGAAGAGAAAGAAGATTCTTGATGTTTATAGATAATCTATTTTAAAAGGTAGTAGGTAGATTCATCTTTTATGAAAGAATGCAGCTGTTTTCACGACCAAATGCAAATTAAACATAATTGATTAATTTTCTACTAAAAGTATTACTACAAATTTACTTTTCTAGCCAACTAGCTTGCCTGAATTACAAGTTATATGACCTACCTTTTCTTCATTTTTCTTGAAAGATGGTATGAGGATATATAATAGAAAGCTTAATACTTGATATATAGAAACTTTTCACAGCCAGTAATTTAGGCAGAAGGCTCATATCAGAAGCAGAAATGTGCTGGTAATAGCGTTAAGTTGAAACTTCCGTCGAAAGATCAGTCAAGACAATCTTTGTCCTTGACAGGTTTTCCATGTTCTTGAATTTTGAGGTTATATTGGATGATGGGAGGGTTAAATTTAAGGTTGTTTCTGCGATGACTATGGCTGCTTTAAGACAGCTGCTTACCTTGAAACGTTGAACAAGACAAACTTGATTGCGACAGAATTTAATGTTCCGAAAACTTGATAGGTAAGGTAACCAAGACCAAAGTATATACATTGCATCGTCTAGGAAATTGCTGAGACCATCAATCAAATTCAAAAGGGCAAGTTGTATCACAACCAAAACAACTTTGACTAAAGTACTAGGAAATTCATCAAAACTCATAAACAATGAAATGAATCATTTTTGGCCAGCAAACAGCTAGCTTACGCTTATTGCCGGCTTTCCTTTTCAATGAAATATTTCTGCAAACTGGTTTTAGACTGGGTAAACGTCAACGAGGAAAACTTGAGTCGGTAGCCTAACTTTTAGGAGGAAAATGTTACATTCTCTCCAGTGCATACTCCCCATGGAAACTTCATACGACTTTGATAAATGGCTGATATTGAGGTAGAACTGTTTAATGGGAATATTATATAATTTTAAAAATAAATACAATGACGATTTTCTTTACACGAAATTATTGTCTATTATCATTCTTTTGTAAAATTAGCAGCTTCATGTAAAAAAATATGTAACATGAATACTATCTGTATAACAAAAAAACACTGATTTCTCACCATGATATTGCTCACAATTATAAAAGAAAATGTGCGTTGTGCATATTATAAATGGGCTTTATATTATGTAGAAAAAGTATTAAGCGGCACTAATAAAAATTTTTTTACTAATCATATCAGAGTGAAATAAAAATTGAATAACGAATGTTAATTTTTTTAAATGTTAATTTTAAAAATAATTATATAAATCAATTAAATTAAATTATAAATTTTACCTTAACAAATATTTAAAAAATTAAATATTATATATATTGATCAAAAAAAATTTTTTTTTTATAAATTATGTTATGAATTTTACAAATAAAAACAAACCATATCGTATCCTCAAGATTTTCATTTCCACTCAAACACTAAAAAAAAAGAAAAAAAATGAATAAAGACGTTACCTAGGGGCTAGGATGTTAAGAACATCCAATCCATCAAACGTTCAAAAAAGGTCCATCATCGTCCATCCAAATGAGTGATCTACTACCCTAATTTCTAGGACGTTGCGTGCGCCATAAGTTACCGTACAGTAGTGTATCGAACGCCAGTTACGTTTGAAGCTCCACCGACTTTAGTGCACCATTGTCAGACCATAAGACTTCTCCCTTCAAATTTGCAACAAAAAACGCCGCCTTTGAAGCAAAAAATAACCACAAATACAGTCTGGCTTTTGAAAAGGAAAGGGGAAGAAAAACCAATAAGGAATCCCTCTCCTCCTTTCTGGGAGAACAGGTATTTTCGATTCTGGTTTTTACCCAATATTTACATGCCTGTTCTCCTTTGATTTAACCCCCTTTTTTTCTTTTCTGGTACGCTTTCTAAACCCTCTTGGATTAATCTCGCATGGGTATTGAATGATTTGAACTTGGAATCATCGGAAACTCTTTGAATTGATTGGTTTTTGGAGTTGTTGAGGGTTATGTTATTTATGCTTGAAAGTGGTCGCTTTGGGTGCTTTAAAGGAGACTTTTTGCTGAATCTAGGTTGAGGGTATCGAAGCTTTTTATGATATAGATCCCATGGGAGCAATGTTATAACTGAAAGGATCGATTTAGGGTTTGGCAATCTGTGTGATCTGTTTTTCTTTCTATTCTTGGATGTATCTTGTTGTTATTGAAGAAAAGGATCGGTTTGTGAACTTGCCCGGCTCTCATCTGGATGTTCTCAGGCCATTGAATCTACCCTTTGAACAGAAATCGTTTTCTTTTTGTATCCCAAGAGATAGATGGGATAAAGAGTTCTTCAAGCTTCAGGGCGGGTAATTATAATTTTACAGATTTGTTGAATTGAGGAAGATTTTGGTAATATAATTGGTTTGAGTTGGATATTTTAAGATGGGTTCTCCTCAAGGCTCCACATTGACAACAAATATGGCCGGGCTTGTTGATGGTTCAACTGCACGCAAAGAGGTTTCCCATATTGATTGTTTGCCTGTTTATGTCAAAGAGCTAATAGCTGGTGGCGCTGCTGGAGCGTTTGCTAAAACTACTGTTGCACCTTTAGAACGGATTAAAATACTCTTGCAGGTCAGCTACTGATTTATCTATGTTGCTTTTTTTAGATTTTAGCAACATTCATAAATACAAAGCGAAAAACGGTGTTTGTTATTATAGCATTTGTGATGCTGAGCGCAATTATATGTTTAGTTCGTCTTTGGGTTTTGTAAAGATGTTACTACATTTACAGTAGTTCTGTTACAATCAAGTGATTTTCCTGCAAAAGTAGTTTAAGTAACAACGGTTTTTAAGGGTTAGTTATATTATATGTTACTGTGGTGCTTGCTGGATGTTTGTCAAGTTACGAATTTGTTGCTTACTTTGTTTTTCAACCCCCCCCCCCCCCCAATATTTTCTGCATCATGCATGTTATTAGTAATAGCTTTCATATGATTCTCTCTCTCCTTCTCTATTCTACAGACAAGGACTAATGGTTTCCAGTCTCTTGGGCTGTATCAATCCTTAAGGAAGTTACTAAAGCATGAAGGTGTTATTGGATTTTATAAGTAAGTTTACAGATTATTTTACCATTTTCCTGTATCTCTGCCCTCTCATAAAAGTTAGACTAATTCATGCCTATTCTTACCCGCAGAGGAAATGGAGCCAGTGTTATTCGGATCATTCCTTATGCAGCCTTACATTTTATGACTTATGAGCAGTATCGAGGTTGGATCTTAGATAACTATTCTTTCTTTGGATCAGGACCTGTTATAGATCTTTTAGCTGGCTCTGCTTCTGGAGGAACAGCAGTGTTATGCACTTATCCCTTGGACTTGGCTCGCACTAAACTTGCCTATCAGGTAAGAAGTTTCTCATAGCATAGTTTCTCATAGATATTTTTGAATCCTTTTCTACTGTTCAAGTGAGGTTGATCTAGCGTGCTGGTATTTATAATAAATTAATTCTGTCATCTTGTTATACTAGTTTAATCAAATCTATTATTACTATCATGTAATTGCTGAATGCTGATTCTGGTTGTGGATTTGAATTACTAAAGCACTCATGGCATTAATTCCTTATGGAAGATGTTTTTAAGTAGACCTGTAACAGTAAAGAATTGATGCTTTTTGAACAAGTACACCCATTCCTTGGATGAATGTAACTTCTTATCAAGTGCTTCTTGGATAAATTGGATTACTAAAGGAAATGAATGTTTTTTACTCTACTTTATCTTTCTAATTTAATTTTTATGGTTCAATAGGTTGTGGACACCAGAACAAATTTCAGGAGTGGTATAAGAGGTTTATATCCTCAACCTGCATATAGTGGCATAACAAATGTACTGACAACTGTTTACAAGGAAGGGGGAATACGTGGATTATATCGAGGTGTAGGTATGTAGGCGGTTGTTTTTAATGCTTCATATTACAGATTAAGAATGAATAGTTTTTAACAGTGGCTCCTAGTTCTGTGCATTATTGTTATAACTGGCACGATCATTCTTGTTGTCCTGTTTAAAGTATCTTCGGTCTTTCATGACAATAGAGATTCATTATTTTAACATGCAATCTTGAATTTTTTTTTTTTTTGGTGTTGCTTCATTTGGCATCTTACTTTCTTTGCTAGTTGTGCCTTGGACTTGATGAAATTTTTTGTTTTTCATAGGTCCGACACTCGCTGGGATCCTCCTTATGCTGGTTTAAAAGTTCTATGTTTATGAGGTACTAAAGACGCATGTTCCTGAGGAGCATCAAAAGTCCATTGTGATGCATCTTTCTTGTGGTGCTCTGGCTGGGTTACTTGGGCAGACCTTCACATACCCATTAGATGTTGTAAGGAGACAGATGCAGGTATTGTGTAATTGCTGTACACTTCTAAGCGGCTGTAATTATTATTCTTTATTTTGTTGGGAATTGGCATTATGTTGTCTCTTTCATGTGTTATTATTAGAATGGAAACCTTTGGGGAATGTTTTAAATGTTGTGAGGTACACATGAACTATAGTTAAGTGCTAGATATATATATAAACCAACCTGGTTAAATAAACTGGTTTGGAAGTTCAACCTGATATACGTGCTAGTGTGTTTTCTTGGTGATGTCAATTAACCATGATCGAATGTAACAAGTCATTAGTGTCTCTCGGCTTTCCTATTGGCACCTAGCTTGTGATTGACACTGCTGGAAAGAAATTTTTGAATGTTACCCTGCAGGTTGAAAGTCTTCAGCCTTCAACAATTCAAGGTAATACAAGATATAGAAACACATGGGAAGGGCTCACTACTATTGTCCGTAATCAAGGATGGAGACAATTGTTTGCAGGCTTGAGCATTAATTATATTAAGGTAGTCTATAAACTCAGAAACACTATTGCAGATTTTTAAATTTGTTACCCTTACCCCTTTCTCTCCCAACTTTTGAGAAACAATAAACATCAGTACTTGTAAGAAAGAGATGGAAAGTTTTTTATAGTCAAGTGTGAGCTTTGTTATATAATTTCCAATTTTTATTTTACTTGGCTTTGTGATGGTTTTCATTCTAATGAAGTCTGTTGCAATTTGCTTGTCAGATTGTTCCTTCTGTGGCAGTTGGATTCACGGCATATGACATGATGAAGGTTTGGCTTCACATACCACCCCGAATGAAATCACAGGCAATATCTTCTGGATAAATGAGACGGATTTACAATGGGGCAACCAAAATCGAAAATGCTTCTGGATAAGAACTATATTTAGCACCCCAAAAATAAGATGCTTGTGCTTAATCTTTTGATTTTCGGACTATTAATCAGAAAATAAAAATGAGATGCAAAAGTGAAATGGAGTGTGTTAATACTAGAACTGATCTCAAGATGCTTGTGCTTTGTATACTTTTATGTACTATCTTGAGCGAGGCATATAAAATATCTTATCTTGTTCACTTTTGAGAAAATTATCAGACATGGCTTTCAATGATAAGATGGCTTAACAAAAAATTGGGGTATGGGTTTTTGTAACTCGAAGACATTTAGATACCAATTCATTTATTGATATCTTTTGCATGATAATGGTAGTTGCCCATGGATTTACATGGCACTGAAAGAAAGCTACTTAATGCCCAATAGTTTAGATGGACCAGAGTGAAGGGACCATTGTTCGGGACTGAAAAAAATGTACATTGTATTTTGTATATATGTTAAGGTAAGACATTGGATGGAACATAGGTTATATATATATCACAAGTGGATGACTACCTGAAATGTAGGTTATTTAAAGGTCAAGTTGGATTGGAAATGTCACGTCCTTCATTATTGCAGAAATTTTCAAGCCAATTGAATTATATGAGAAAACCCATAAGACCAATCCTCTAAAGACGTGGTACTAATTGTTTAAGTTTTCAACAATGAATGTTATGTATGTTAACAAACCTCAGCAATAAAGTTAACGAGTGCATGCATGTATCATTTCTTAATCATATATGCTAGTAAACTATCACTTAATCTTGAGCTACTTGGCTAAAAAAAGGGTTTTATTCGGTTTATTTGAGTAAAATCAAACAAGTAGTGGTTACTCTATTATAACCTTTGACATCATTGAACCAAAAAGAAAAATTCCAAGGGTATATTGACTTTTCTTCTTTTGAAAACAAGAACATGAAATCTGGAAGTCAACTAAATGTCAAATTCAAATAGTTGAACATTTCAAAATATCTTTTCCAGGAAAAAAAAAAGTCAGAATCCATCAAACTACAATTTTGAGTAATGATATTTGAAAATACCTGCATTAATTTTTTAAAAAATAAAATATATATTATCTCCCTCTTACACTAAAATGAAATGACATTGGGTGCTTAGCTGTCGTTCTACAGTAATCTGAACACCGTTGATTTGAGTCAATAGAAAAAAAAAAAAGTTAGAATCACAAATCATGGAAAGGTCAATGGCTTATCACAACTTGAAGAGGTTGAAGATTTCGTTTCCGAGTATGGCTGAAAATGAAGTTCCACTGACAACAGTACAAAATATTGCAATTATAGAGCCCCCACCACTCCACCATTTCTTACAGTTTCTACGACCATGTAGAAAGGAAAAAAAAAATCAGTAGTAATAGTAAAATAAGTAACGTCCTTAGCTTATAGCCTCATACTTCCTATAATTTTGTTATTATCCTCTCTTTTCCTTCCATTATAACATGTTTTCTTTAACTGGCGCTTCTTCTATCTTTCTTATAAACTTCTTTTGAAAGGTCTCCTGAACCCCGCCATATTCACTTTTTTCCTTCCCAGTCCCAGCTCAGCTCTTTCAGTGAATTGGGTAACTAGCTTTATCCATGAACTCGCAACTTTGAATTGTTTTAAGATTGTCCTGTCCATAGTATTAATTTTCCACAAAGAGCAGTAGCTTTGATAGTTCAAAATGCCACCCAATTGCCTATATATAAGCTGTCTTACCTAGTTAACAAGTTGCATGCTTTGCAGTTGGACTTGGACTCAATTGTCTTCTCTTTGGAAAAGGTTAGAGAAAAAGTTTTCTGGTTTTTGGACCTGCTTTTTTTTCTTGATCTGGTAGGTGAGGTTGTTAATTTCATTTATTTGGTTTGATTTTTCCTCTAATTCTTCTTTCTCTGAAGACTAATTCTTGCTTTTTTTGTTTCTTTGGAAAATTTCTATGTGGTTCCCTTCCGAATGAGTCAAGAGGACTAATGGGTATTGCTTTCTTTAAATCTAATGATCATGTTTGATAGTTCTGATTTCACAGGTTTGAGTCTATAAGAGGTTTTAAAGCAATGGGTCTTTCCCTGTCTTTGCTTTTATCAGCATGGAAGGAAATCCTGAAACACCAGGTTTTTGGTTATGCCGACACAGAAAAGGTTATTGTGAGGTCCATAAGCCTTGGAAGAGAAGATATAAAGGTGACCCTAAAAGCAAAGAGTTTCAATAAGGATGATTCAGAGTCTCCAATTAACAAGTTCGATAGTTTGAATAATGGTGGTGATTTCAAAGAACCAAAGCTTGAAACATCCGATTCATTCAAACAAATAGCTTTTGATCAAGGGAATGGAAATTCAGTTGTTTCAAATGATAAAGCGAATAGAATTGTCATACGAACAAAACCCACCATAAAGCTGCCTGAACCAGCGGTACTATTTTCTCCGAGGCCAGTAACTGAGCTTGATACTGCTGCAACTAAGCTTCAAAAAGTCTACAAAGGTCATAGGACAAGGAGGAACCTGGCAGATTGTGCAGTTGTGGTTGAGGAGCTCTGGTTTGTCTCCATATAATCTCAATTTCTATTGCTATTTCTCAGTGTTTCCGATTTTGAGTAATTTGTTTGTTTCTTACATTCATTCAACATTGTAGGTGGAAGACCTTAGATTCTGCAGCACTAAGAAGGTGTTCTATTTCGTTCTATGACATTGAGAAACAAGAAACCGTTATGTCAAAGTGGGCACGGGCTAAAACAAGGGCTGCCAAGGTACTTTATTAAGCTGTCACAAGTCCTTAAAATGTGGTTTGCTACTTGGCAAAGTTGCTTGAAGACTGACAAGAGAATCCTTTTGAGTTTGTAGGTTGGTAAGGGTTTGTCTAAGGATGAGAATGCCCAACAACTAGCCCTTCAACATTGGCTTGAAGCTGTAAGCCAATATTATCCTTCTTGCATTAGAATTATCCCTGTTGATTTGTACTACAGTAGACTAGGTTCGCTTACAAGTAGTTTGCTTTGCTAATTCAAGTTTTATGGAAGAACTGAAAACTTGGAACCATCAATTTTCTTTCAAAATTGGCTTTCCATCCTTCAAAAAGTAGATATTGATATCCTCTGGTTTGGTTTAGAACAACTGAACATAGTATCAAGATTATGGTAAACCATATGATTGTATTACAGAATTCCATTTTGAAAACAAAAATTGGTGACTTTTATCAAAATTTGATGGTTTTATAGGACGCATAGGGTCTTCATATGTAACAGACACCAAATTCACATTGGCTGGATTGATATCCTTCAAATACAATATTGCTATTTTTAGGACAAATCAAGGAAATATCCATGAATAACTGTTCTTTTTATATTTCTGCAGATTGATCCACGCCATCGTTATGGGCACAATTTACACTTCTACTATGATGTCTGGTCTGCAAGCAAGAGCACACAACCTTTCTTCTACTGGTAATGTATTTCATTAAACCGACCTGAAAGTTACAAAAGAAAAGGTTACTCCGTTATACCCTTATATTCGGATTTCTGAAATTCATTTTCTATCCTGGAATTGAAGGTTGGATATTGGCGATGGCAAAGAACTAAATCTTAAAAAGTGTCAAAGAATAGATCTACAACAGCAATGCATTAAATATCTTGGACCGGTGAGTCTTATTACTTCTATCCCATGTTAATTGCACCAATTCTGTCTAAAATGTTTTGTACATTTCTTAACCATATCTGTTTTATGGCCTGCAGAAAAAAAGGGAAGCATTTGAAGTGATTGTGGAAAGTGGAAAGCTTGTTTACAAGCAATCAGGAATGCTTGTTAACACCCTTGAGGGTTCTAAGTGGATTTTTGTACTTAGCACATCAAGATCCTTGTATGTTGGGCAAAAGAAGAAAGGTGTTTTTCAGCACTCAAGCTTCCTTTCCGGAGGAGCTACAACAGCTGCTGGAAGATTGGTGGCTTCTCAAGGAGTTCTTGAGGTACATATGTTGTGCAAACACTAATACACGAATTATTTTTCTCTCGGATTTTGTTTGATGCTAAATGATTCTCTTCTTGTCCAGGCTATTTGGCCTTACAGTGGTCATTACCTCCCAACTGAAGACAATTTCAAGGAATTCATTATTTTCCTTGAGGAACACAATGTGGATTTGACCAACGTTAAGGTAATAATAAATTCTAGTTCATGAAACTTTCTTTTCTCCACCTTAGCATGTGATTAGCTAAAATAGGCATTAGACTTTAATTAATTTCATAGATAGCCACCAAAATTGCTCATTTATTGTGCAGAGATGTGCAATAGATGATGACTACACGTCATACAAAAGTGCTAATGATGAATCCAAGCATGGGGAGGTCAAAGATCCAACGGCAACAACAAATTCAACAGATTCAATGGCTGTGGATGTTGATGGGCCCACAAATGGTGCGTGCATGATAATTGAAAGTCTACAAAGTAGCATGGGTACCAGTGCAGCCAATGTGGAAGCACCAGCATTCAACAAGGCCAAGCGTTTGTCTTGCAAGTGGACAAGTGGGGTTGGTCCTCGCATTGGGTGTATCAGAGACTACCCAACAGAACTGCAATCCCAGGCTTTGGAACAAGTTAACCTATCTCCCAGAGTCACGCCTGGTCGCTTTGGAAACTCTGGTCCCATACCTTCACCAAGACCAAGCCCCAAAATCCGAGTCTCACCCAGGCTTGCATACATGGGACTCCCTAGCCCGAGAGTGTCAGTGGTTGCTAATAAAACTTTTTGAGCATTCACCAAATGATAAATGACCAAGGTTGAGCACTTCTTGTGCCCACAATTTTGCAGCAACGGTAGTAATAAAAATGTAAAATAGGTGAAGTGATCTGACCAAACATTCTTTGTTCTTTGATTTGTTTTTTAGGCTTTAGGATAACCCCTTCTGTCATGTGGAGTTTGATTTGCTTTGTCAATTCTTTATTTAAGCTGTAATAAGTAGTAGTAGTTTTTTTTGAAATAATGAACAGTTTATGAAAGATGCAAGGGATTGCCTTCCAATCCCAACTGTTTTTTATTTGGCTGGTGGTTGGAAGGGGGTGCGGGGGGTGAAGACCACGGACGACAGACAAGGTGAACATTCATGGAATTATAAGCTTTGACTATTGACTATTGCCCTTGTCTATTAAGATGAAACAACAATATTACCACTAGGATTTCTTCAAAACCTCCCCCATATTCGGCAAGTTACTCGATCATCTTCAAATCCAAGTTCTGAATTTCGATTTGATGAGAGCTCTGCTTCATCTTCAATATGCACCTCTACCACACCAGTTTCTGGAAACGCTATCTTGGCTTCAGATAGAACAGAGGAGAGTGGCAATAGTAGGCCAAACTATGTGAACTTGACGGAGACTACCAAGGCAAAACAAAGAGCTGGCAATCATGCCTTTTACCGAATCCAAAGGTGGTCCATGGATGAGTTCCAGTTCAAAAAGTAGTGTTGGTTCTGATCACTTAGTCCATATGTCTCGACCACTATAACCACCTACACGATTGGATAAAAGCACAATGAAATCCAGGAAGAGGGGAAATTGCTTGTATGATTAGATGGATTAATTGGATAAATGTTCAACACCTTGTTGTTCTTTTTTATTGAAGTGTACTAAGTTAAGAGCAAGCTGTTGCAAAATCCTCATTGAGTATTTTGTATCTGATTCAAGGGCAATCCATTTTGTACAAGTGTTCATTTAGCTCTTCCTCGAATCACTTCTACTTTATCATTTTTTGCATTTATATGAATGAGGAAATAAAACTCAGCCAGATACAATAATCGTGTTCTTTTTATGACTCTGAGCTCTACACCATGTTTGAAGTTGAGAACTATGCTAAATTCAAGCTCCAAAGGTTTTGCCACGCTTGAAGAATGTCGATATGTATATTTCCGATACAGTTATATCAAGGAGAGTTTGATTTCTTGTATGGAGAACTTCTGGCCAACGCATGCCTAAGGCCCAATTCCAAAGGGTATGAGAGCATAAGGATGCCTTCGTTTCTCTTCTTCACAGTTTGGATCAAACCTTTCCGGTTTAAATTTATCTGGATCCGGGAAGTTCTTTGGATCTTTTGCTAGGACTCCAACTGCTAACCAGACCCACGTTCCCTGCTCAACAAAGCATAACAAAAAGGTGGAAAATCACAGACAAGCCTTTAGTCCAAGCACAAAATTAAATTGCATTGAGTTCTATATAAGCGATGGTAATACCTTAGGCAGAAGGTAACCTCCTATCTCCACTTCTTTTGATGTTTCTCCTGCAAGTAAAGGAGAAAATAAGTAGAACCTTGTAGCCTTTTTAATCACCTGAAGTCAAACCAACAAACAGAATTAATGAAACATATAAGCACAAATCCAATCTTGGGTATGGTGTCATTGTCAAACATTTCATAAATGTCAAAAAGTGAAGCCCCACGGACTTGCATGATCAAGATACGGAAATTTATGCTGGAGATCATAAGCAGTTGGCACCAGGTCATGCGGCCCAAACCCATCAATCTCTGCCAGCAATTTTTTCTCTACCTCTGGATGTCCAGCAACTAAATATACAATGACAATGTAAATGCTGTTGTTGATGAGCCAGCAAGAAGGTGCTTGTACGTAACTTCGTCTTATGAGACACTTTTTGTAAGATAAAACCGTGATGTAATCCGGAGTAAAAACATTCTTAGCCACGTCCTCTAATTCCCTTGCACTCAATATTTGAGACAAGAAGTCCTTTGAACCTCGGTTCATCTCTTTCATTCTGTTTGATACGATCTCATCAAGCCAACTACTCAACTTCTAATTAGTCCTGTCAACTTTCCAGTCCATAGTTCCTGGTATTCTTTTCAAAATCTGCCTAAAAGGCTCCTGCAATATGGGGACAAGTAGACCTATTATAATTGAAAGAGAACCAGATAAGTCCATCTTAAGTTGTGTCGTGGAGTATATGTGATGATTGATGAAGTCAGAGATAATGATGTCAACCGGTTAGGTCGGGACGGGTCTTTGTTCTCCCCAAACTTGATTCCACTTAAATATATAAAATTTAAACTTGACCCAATAATTTTTTTATTATTTTTCATATCCAAATTTGATCCGATTTAATATTATATAAAATCGTATCCGATCCAAAATTAATAAAATATTTTTTTTAAAAATATAAAATATTATTTTTAATATAAATATAAAATTATATATATAAATATAAAATTAATTAAATAATTAAAAAATAATTTATATATATCGAGTAAGAATCGAGAAAAACTCAAACCTCTCTCTTGTAAGAAAAACCTTCCTTTATAAAAATATGTTTGGCTAAAAACCTCTCTTTCTCTTTTGGTGCTTCCATCTTCCTTTTTTCATAGTTACATCTTTCAGCTTCATTATTCTTCTTCAATCTATTCAAAAGTTTGCAGTGATACAAGTTGAGTATGCTCTGCAGTTGCCATATTATTATGGATCCTCTCCAACAGAAACTCTTGTTAATCTGTTAAACAGATCATTGAACCTTTTTCCTCAGCTAAAGAAAAGTCATACCGTCCCAAGATCATACTAATAGTAAGTTACTATAGTGAAAGACATATCTCCATAAAAGTCAGGCCCCCAGTTCGACGTTAAGCCAAGAAGGTGCCAGAGTCTTGAACACCGGCTAGAATACCTTGGTTGTATGTCTGATCTATGGAAAGCTTATCGTTGGTATTATCTTGCCAAGTTTGATCTATCTTCACGCTGTTGTCATAATACCAGATAGTATTGTCAGGACTCTACCACCCGGAGAGCCCGGAACTGAAGCCGTGTCAGTTGCCAGAGCCTTGGCCGTACTACCTGCCGCTGTGTGTATAAATGGTATCAGGCCTAACAACTTGCCAAGATAGTGCGAAGAGAAGTATGTTTCTAAAAGATTTGATTATTGAAAAATTGGAAAAGGAAAAGCCAAAAGAGAGTCTTATTTTCATGGATCTATCCACTCTTAGCAACTCTAGTTCTCAACCATCTTCCTCTAGATCTTCTTTTAGTCTATCCTCTCCTCCATCTCCTGTACTTAAAAAGTCCTCCTCTTCTAAGCTTAAGTTCTTATATGAAGTAGATTATATTCCAGAAGAAAAGAAAACCCAACAAACAGTCTTACCCCTTGTAAATCCTTATACAGCTTTCTCAAACTCCTCCCCTTCTCTTACCAGATCTTTAAAAACTCTTTTAAAACCCAAATATTCAGCTCCAAAAGAATATGTTCAAGCCACAAACTTTGATCAATGTATTCTTCCAGCAGGACCCCAAGAGCACTTTGTTACTCTTCAGATCCCAGAAGAATTTCTTCACCAGTGGTCAGAACAAGGATACACTCACATCCACTTTGGTGCTATCAGAATCGCTTTAACCTTTCATGGTAGAAATAGAATTCCTGTCTGTACCAGAATGGCCTTATTGGACACCAGATTTAAAGATTACAAGCATGCAGTCCTTGGAATCGTCGAGACGACACTCAATGCAGGAACTGTCTTCTTCACAGTCTTCCCAAATTACAATATGTCTCTTCATGATCCAACCCTGTTAGATGCTTTAAAAGTTCAAGTCCAGATCGTAGGCACAGAAATGAAAGGCCTCCAGGCAACCCTTCACTACCAGATGGCATACAGAGTTCAAGATCATGCCATTAACTTGCCTCTTTCACACTCCAGTGATGCAGTTTTTGTTAAAATGGAAACAGCAGATAGAACTCCCAAACATGTTCATATTCCAAAGCAGATTTCCAATGAAGAACTTGCCACCCTTCTCCCAAAGACGTGGACGACAAGTTATCAAAAGATTTGGAAACAAGATGAGCCAATTGAACACTTTGATCCAACCTACAAGACAAACCAGGATGGTACTGTCACAATTGAATTTGATCACAGCAAAGGAAAGGATGTTCCTCCTCCAACAATCTTTCCAACCCAGTTTATGATGCAAAGATGCCATGCTGATCTCCTTGATGTTCCAGTCACACACTTTCAGTCCAATGGAAATCCCGTGTATGCATATAAATCTCCAACAGGACATTGCTATTGGGACATATATTGTCAATGCAAAGAATGCCAGATCGATGCTGATAAAAGCTTCCTGGATGATGATGATGATGATGATATTCCAAAGAAGCAAAAGAAGAAAAAGTCTTCTCAGCAAAAGCTTAAAGAAAGATATGAAAATGGAGACCCTGAAGTTGATCTCCTTGGTGAACCCTCAGGAAAGTTTGACTACTATGTCATTTATCCTAAGAAAGACAAACCACCCTCTCAAACCTACTCAACTCAACCCACACACAAACCAAATTCCTCTCAAAATTCCTCCCAACCTTTACCTACACCTTTACCACAAATCTCCATGATGCAACCAACCTATCCAAACTCAACCTTCCCTCCTTTTGAAGAATTTCATAAAGACCAATACAAACACATTCCAAAAATCCCCACTCCCACTGACAGAGATGAATATGGAAACCAAAAAAATGTTTCTCGTGCTGAAGCAGTTTTAAACTGGCAAACTGAAAATTCTCTCCAGCAAAATTCCTACTTGCACAGAATTGAACATAAGTTGGACCAAGTCAGTCAACACTTTGATCAGAGTCTTGTCAATCTCCAGAATATTATTCTTGAAATTCAGTCAAGGATAATCACACTTGATCAAGAACTCAGATACATGGCTGAAAACAACACTGGTATCACTTATGCTTTCACTGAACGAGAGAAAGAAATGAAAAGCCTAAAGATTCAACTTGCAGATCTTCAAAACCAGTTTCGTCAGAAACAACAACAACAACAAGCAGCTTCGAGTTACAACATCTTCACACCATATCATACTGGTATGCATGATACTCCTTACCAAGCTTATACTCCTCCCCCATTTCAACCATACAATCCTCCAATCTCACCTCCAAAACCTTTTTTCACACCTTTTCAGTACAAACCTCCCCCAACATCTATTCCAACATCCTCACAACCAACACAATACTTCACTCCTCTTTCAGAACAACCAGACCAACCCCCTTTCGGTACAACTGAAAAATGGATTCACAGATTTAGAGAAAAACAACCAGTTGATCCAAAACCCAAAAGAGTAGCAGAACAACCACTTTCTCAACCCTCAAAACCACACCCAAGTTCAAGTTCCACACCTCAAAACCCTACACCACAACCAAACCAAAAACCTGTACAACTCATGATTTCTCCTACACAAACCCTTCCAGAAATACTTCACCAGATGGCACAAGATAACCTTCCTCAGTTCTCTATTGAAGATATTTTTCCCTCTACCTTTGAAAATGAATCTCACATGGATACTGTCAAATCAGAAGAATCAGTTGAAACAGATGATACTGATGATTCAGATGAAATGATGCTCCCTCAGATTTTCATGATAGAACCAACAGTTGAAGTTCCAGATGATACTCCAGAAGTTCATAACCCTGATGCAATGGATACTGAACAACACCCTCCTCCACAACAATCACATGCTCCTCCTTTAACATCAAAATTCTCAGTCTTTACCATTGATGATGTTCCTCCTTCAAAATGGCCCTCAAGATTTCAAGAATTCTTAGCATGGGGACTTGTTGAATTGAATTCTCATCCCAATGTTATGATGAACACAGTCTTGATCAGATTTATTTCTAGACTCGTTGGAACCCTGAAAAATTTTTGGGACAACATTGGTGAATACAGACAACTCCAGTTTCTTCAATGCCCAACAATCACAGACGCTGTCTCTCAATTTGCAGCAATCTTTTATGGACAAGAAACTCACAGATTAGAAAAGA